TATCTTTTTTTCCTTCTTATAATTAGTTATTTTACAGCTATATAATGTTAAATTTTAAAGTTATGTTATGTTAAATAAATTCCTTAACCCTCATGTTTTAACTTTATTCATACTTTGAATTATAATACAGTGCTAAATTGTTTCAAATTTAATAAGATATTTAGTTAGGGGATACAGCGATTGCTTCCCTATGAGGTATCCCAAGTTCGAATGCCAGCAATGACTGGTTGATAGATGTTCCGCACCCGGCACTCACCAACCACAGTACTGACGTAAATTTTCCTCAATGGTTGATGGAACATGGGTTAGAATCCCTTTTCTGTCAGGCTAACTGAGGGAAGTTTCGGGGTTTTCCTCTCCTTGTAACGCAACTACGCGTTAGTTCCGTCTTAAATACGAAATTCGTCCACGAAATCAAGTTTCTCCCGATACCTGATCTAGGAGTTCCCCTACTTTCCGGATTGGGTTCAAAATTATAGGGCTTCGAAGTTGAACATTGGTAGTCGTAAACTCAAAACTAGTTCAATTTTTTTTTGTATCATGAAATAAAGTTTAAATACGATAGTGCGGTTCAACGTATCACCATATTAACGTTTACACACTCTAAACCTCTCGCAACACACTTTAACCTCTTATTAACGTAGTTTACAAGATTGTTTGAGTGGTATAACGTATTAATTTTTTTATTATTACTTTTAACCTACATACTATCTTAAATTATATGTGAATTGCATGTCTTCATTTCAAATTCAACAAAATGAATGAATAAGTGAAGTTTCCCATCATTTGAATTATGTAAATATCTGATGTATCTAATAAATGTCAAGGGAAATAATTCTTCAAATAGTCCTGATTTTTCTCGCACTGTCACTTATAATAAAATTGTACGGAAAGATGGAAGTGACACTTCCTAATTTATTTAATATGTCATATTCCAGAAGAATATAGAGATAATCAGTTTATCAAGTTTATAAGTTTCTTTGAAATTTAAAGCACCTATGCATGAAGCAACGCTCGCCTATTCATTTTTAATAAAAGAATTAAAAATGATTTTGTAAGATAGCTTATTTCGATTACCTGAACTGTACTAAAAATGTAGAAATTCTCTGCTTTGTAAGTTCTGCTTTTTCTTTGACTTACTTGATAAAAATATTCTAATTATCCAGGTGAGTGTCTAACTCTTTTCAACAAAAATAAAAGTTCAGCCCTTAGAGAAATCAGGGCTTTTTCTAATTTGATTTTTTCACAGATTTGATTTTCTGTCAGAATACTACTTTCAACAAAGATTTTCTTCCAAGATTTAAAACTTTGGTGCGATGTTTTGAGTTCGTATTTTTTGCTCTTACATAAGGCTACTCAAATTAAACAACAATTTTGGTTCATTAATCCAATAACTGAGAATCTCTTATAAACGCTATTAATAATCCTAAATCTTATATCAGCACTGAGAAAAAAAAATGGTCTAACTGCCAGAATTTGGTAAAATTGACTGTGTTTCCGGCTCTGTAGGAGCATCAAAAAGTTCAAAATTTTTACGGTTAAAATTTCCATTCGTAGTTTCTGTGTTTCTGGCTCTACTGGTGCACCAAAAAGTTAGTAGTTTTTACCAAAGCGCTTTAGGAATGTGTTTTTTAAAAATTAACAATAACATATAGTTTTAATATATGGGATAAGATTTGGTAAATTTGGCTTATTCATGATATCTTAAAGGGGCTTAAAAATAATTTATTTCGTCAAATTTACTTTTCAGTTTTTTATTTTTATTAAATGTGTGGTAATAAATGTGAGATAATTGAAAACCAAAAAATTCCGGTAAACCTTTACCATATTAACGGAAAAAAATACCACATCAATGATTTAAAACCGGTTTGATGAAAATTTTGGGTTTTTTTTCCGCTACGAAAAGAAGATTTTGGTTTTATTAATCAGAATTCTGATTTTTTTTTATACCAGAAATGTCATTACCATAGGTTATGATAATTTTATAAAATTTTTTTCCTCAATGTAGTATGAAGCAGAGAGAACTGCAACTAAGACTTTCAATAAAATGCGAAGAATAACTAGATTTTTAGACTCTGTATTTCTAAACTATTAAATATGAAATTGTCCCACTATTTTAATAAATACTGTACATATTTTTTTTTACCAGAATTGGCATTACAATACCGCGCGGTAATTATATCACGGTAATTATATTGTTTCTCCATGATTTTTCACGAAATTTAAAATTCTGTTGCAATAGTTTGAATTTGTCACTGGTTATTCTTAAATAAAGTCACACTTATTCAAAAACTACATCAGTTTTTTCAAGCTTGTAACTGAGAATCTTTTATAAACATTAATAATAATTCGAAATAATTCAAATCCGTTACCAAGCTTGTAATCAAAAGAAAAACTTCCGACAGATATTTCACCTCAAACTTACAATAAAGTATTAACAATAGAATTTTTGAACTCAACAACATATCTTTTAGGCTTATAAAAATCGTATAATACATGGATTAGTGGTAATTTCCAGACTTATTTTACAACATTTCCCACGCCTTACTTCTTTTTAAACGAACTCGGAAAATTACGGCTTAAGACAGCTTATTTACAGAACTTATTACCACCTGTAAAAAATTATTTATGAAAATAGTCTAACGAATGAATAATTATTGGTTTCTTTGAAATAGAAATTCAGTATTTATTTAAATTTGGTTTGTAAATAAATATTATATTCGAGACTTGTTACTTCGGTACAGGGATTAACGAGTAAATACAACAAATGACTGAGCAAACAATGAACTATTTGTACATTAATTTTAAATATGTTCGTTAATCCTACTCTTTCAGTAAGCTAATATCATAAAGCCATTAAATAAATAATATATGTAGTTATCTAAGAGCAAACAAAAGTAGTGATTCGGGAAAATATATATTCCGATATGTTTAGTTTATAGTATATACTTAAAGGGAAAATTATTTATTAAAAAAATATTTAATTGTAACGGAGTAAGAAGGAAATGAATTGTCTGCAAGTAAAACTAAAAAAATTGTTATAGTATAAATAACTCACTGAATAAATAAAATCCTTTTAACTATTTGTGCAAAACAAAAATACTATTTCTTTTAATTTATTTTATTCAAATTTTAAGTTGAAACAATTTGGATTTTGTACATTATGTGAAACGCATTTTCCATCAAAATTAGATTAAGAAGAAAAAATATAAAATTAGCTTCCTAGAAAAGATTTGAGACGTCAATTAATTTTAACAATATTAATATTTCTTCATCGGCAAATAGTAAATCACCTAAACATTTAGGATTGAAAATATCGGTTAGCTATTTGACTCGTAAACTAAAATTTTTTTAAAATTAAAAAAAAAAAAAACATATAGAAACCTTAATATTATACTCATATATTAACCTCAAATCTTTATCGGTTTTTTTAAAAAAAAAAAAACCCTCCCATGGTTATCCCGACGACGAGAGAACCGAATCTCCAACCCATGATCCGCCTACCGGGGAAGTGTTCGATTGAGTCTGAAGTGTAAGCAGTCAACAACATACGTAAAAATACATTCTAGTCAACAGATAAATTTATTTGAATTAACTTTATAGGTATTTTAAAGCAACACAGTTTAGATAGAGTTAACTTTCATTGAAAATAGTACTAATTCAAATTCATCAAAAATTAAAAAGAAATCTTTTAAAAACTTTCATCAGATAAATAAGATCAACAAAACAGACAGAATGACCTAATCTTTGGTCTAAGATCGTTTGCAGCCTTCAACTCAGCTTCGACTCGAGCTTCAGTAGATCTGTAATATGATACTTTTAATGTTATTCCTACTTTTTTGTGTTTTGAACATTTCTCCGTCAAGCTTTTTTCAGGTGAATACATTTCGTATTAAATTTAAAATTGTGAATTGTGTTAATAATAATGGTTTATGCATAACTGATCATACATATTTCTTTAATATTTCTTTTTTCTTTCTTAAATAAATAGAATTTGTTACGTCAAAAATTTCTATTTTGTTGAAATTTGAATTTTACAAGCTATTTCAATTCTTAAACTTTTTTTAATCATTATCATATTTTATTTCTAAATTGTAAAATTATTTGTGATTGATTTATTCTATTATTATGTAATTATTGATCTTATAAAATCGAAATCAGAAGCTTATTAATTTAAAATCAATATCCAAACATTAAAAGTATAAGAAAAGAAATACTTTTTATATTTTCATTTTGACTAGTAACTGCTTTGAGCAGTATATGTACATTTATTTTAGTTTTTTATTATTCCGAAATCATTTAATCTAAGCTAAATATTGAATTCCAACTGTTGGCGTTAGCTATTGCACATTGAAGAATAACTTAAGCTTCGATGTTTTGTTTATTGCATATGTTTCAGAATATTTCATGAATTTAAACATTAAGCTTAACTATAGACCAAATTTTGCAATAATTGCTTAATTTTTAATATGAAATGTTTTTCTATTAATATTAAACTTAATCAAAAAAGAGGCTTAAGTAGCCACTCGTGATAGCATAAAATTCATAAGCGTATGGTAAATCAGCATGTCAATGGTTTCTTACTGTTATGTGATTCTCTCAACTTTAGAAAATATGTAGCTTTTCCTCTACTGTATCTTGTCTCAGGATTTCGCGTAATAAAGATTGATTTCTAAAATTCTGATTTCTTCCAAATGATGATAAAGACTGATTTCGATTTGTTGCTCAAAATGACATGGTAGGGTTTAGTTCAAACTTATTTTTCTGTCAATCTATTTTCATGAACTTACAGTTGTAAAAAATCAAGTCAAATTACACTTGTAAAATGTGTGTTTCTTTACACTATTTTGTTGTCAAGCTATTGATTTTTCTAATTATTTTTGTTGCTGTTAATCCCCTAAAACTGTCAGGGTTAAATCAGGTCAATGACTTTGTACACCCTAACTTTATCCAAAAGCATCAACGTATTACAAATTTTTTCTTCCTGGTGAGTCCCAAACATGCAAGAATATGATGTGGGGAAATCTGCTCAGAAGAACAGTTGGTGCAAGTATCTTTCAAAGATTTTAGATGTCTACTGAGGAAGCTTGTGAAGGTGGCATAAGACTTTCGTCGCTGCAGGGATGAGCTTTTGTTCCACTCTTTGTGCTAAGAGTTACACTGCAGCTCTAAAATTGAAACAAACCACAAATTCTTTTAAAAACTTTTTATTTTATTTACAAAAAATACTAAAAAAATTACAATCAATGACAATACTCATTAATATAACAATGAAATAAATGTTCATGGAATACAAGTTATCTCGTACTTCGCGAATATAACAGTCTTATATAACAGTCTCATATAACAGACATATAACAGCCTCACATCTAAAAAATGCAACTTTCAAAATTTAAAAGGGATTATTGATAAGCAGGTTATTAAAAAAATGAGTTTATTCAAAGTACTTTAGGTGTCAGCTTTAATCTATAATATTTATGTATAATTTTTTTGGTTTTCTTCAAAATTTAATTTTATTTATTTATTTATTCTTTTTAGAGAGGATTCGTTTTTTTTACAAGCATCTTGGTTACTTTTCTTTCATGATTTTCGAACTGTTAAAAGATACCAAAACATTGCAGAAAAATCCATTAGTGTTTCTTTGAGATAATTTTATTTAGCTACTACATATTTATCTATTGCATTATTTTTCTACTTGTTTTAATAATTTGGAAAGTATAGTGTTGGCAAAAGTACAGGTATATATATATATATATATATATATCCCTGTGGCNATATATATAACAATTCATTGAATGAATACCACTCATAATGCTATGACCTTCAGTGGTGGGCACTTTAACAAGTAAAATATCAATCATCATAAAATTTTACATTCTTTCAATATTTGATTAAATAAAATATATTCATATTTCTTTCAAATCTTTTACTTTTTAAATACCTGCTCTACATTATTCTCGTTCTTTCTTCTTTAATGAACGAATATTAATCTGTGAAACTTACTTTTTCTTTTGAATGAAAAGTTTGAAATATCTACCTCGTATGCAATTTAATTAAATACTGGACCCAGGAGAGCGTGATTAAAATGTAATTACCAAAGTTACTTCTTCTTAGCGCTACTTTTAGGATCTTAAACCTGATTAACTGATATTTAAGCTTTTAAAATAAGAGTTAATGGTATCGGAGATTTTTCCCTTAAATAAATCCATTTCCTTCCTCATTTCAAAACTTTTCTTAAACTTATTTTGAGATCAAAAAGTTTTCTAGAAAATGTCTGAAGCGTAAGTATGGCTATAGATAAATATGTGTGTAAAATATTGAGTACAAGGTCAAAAATATTATTTGCAATAGAATAATATAAAGTATATCTATATTCTTCATTAAAAACTCAATAACTTATATAATTAAGATATTTCAAAAGTATTTAACTTCGAAAAATAATCAGTGTGATATTTTTAATTGTAATTGAAATTATTAAAATATAGAAGTATAACGGTAACCAATCTATGGAAATCGAATAAAATGTTGAGGAATTAATTTGTGTTAATACTTAAAAATTTGCAGTTCGCAGTTATTTTTATGAGAATATTATTTATGTTATTTAAAAGGGTTTCAAGCAAATATATTAAATAAATCTAAATTAATAGGTACTAAAAATATTTTATGAATAAAGATGAGAAACTTCTATAAAGAAATCGAAACATGCTTGTTTAAAGTTATGAAAAATATATTGAGACTTTTCTCTTAATAAGACTTTTCTCTTAATTTTTTGTAAAGTCAAACCGGCATATTTCTAAGTGCTTAATGAAAGAAAAACCGAAATCGAAAACCTGAAATTAGATTAATCTTCAAAAAAAAAAATCTGGAAAAGAAGATCAAACATATTTGGGAGCAATTTAAAAAATGAAATAAATAAATGTGTCTGTATAATAAAAATGTTTTGTGAAAGGAATCCGGTTTCGCGTGAAATTCGTTGTAAATCTGTTATTAATTTCAAATACATTTTTCTCTAAGTTGGGTGCTTATTTTGGAAGAAAAAAATTTTATTTTTATTTTTTTATAATGTCTTTTAAGAAATTGAGATACAAAAACATGAAAGTAAAAAACTAGAATAAAGAAAGAAACTTATCTCTCTTATATACATACATCTCACAACTCGAAATAATCATTCGTCAAGCTATTGTTCGACTTAAATTGGAGTGTGGTTCAAATATAAATGAAGCTTCTATATTAACTAAATATTAAAATGTTACTGACAAAGAGAACAAAAATGTTATTTTTCAATTTAATTTCCGTGAATTCGGCACTCATTTTCAAAAGTTTTGGAAGTTTCTTTTTCTATTAAGTGTAGTGCCAATCGTGCACAAGCTCTTCTATCTCTTCATCGGCTGACTCATTCAAATCTATCACCGTTCAAAGCTTTATTAAGGGGTTCAAACAAATGGTAGCCTGAAGGTGCCAAATCTGGGCTGTATGGAGGCTGTTGAACTGTTTCCCGGTATAATGCCTGTAACTTTTTTTGTGTTACAGCAGCTCTATGAGGTGTCGCATTGTTATGTTGTAAGAGTACTTTGTGGATCGACAGGCCACATCTCTTGGACCAGTAGGCTGCCTTGACTTTCTCTAAAAGTTCACAGTAATAATTTGCATTAATTGTTCTTAGTTCATGAAGGAAATCAATGTACATAACACCTCACGTGTTTCAAAAACACTTATGAGTACTTTATCAGCATATAACCTAGATTTTGTTCCGGATGGGGCAGATTCATTTTTTCAACGCTATTCCATACTGGATTCCATACTTTTGCTTTAGGGGTGTATTGATGCACCTAAGATTCATGGCAAGTTAACGTTCGAGACAAAAATGAATCCCCTTCTGCTTCACAGCAAGTCAATAGCTAGCGTCTTTTCTTGCATCCTTTTTATTTGTATTCAAAATTCTAGACACCCACCTTGCTGATGAATAAGATCACGAACTTGGTCAATTTTCTCTGTCGTAGGAGTCTTTCTTGGTCGATGAGCATGAGATAAGTTTTTAATTACTTTACGGCCTTGTTTAACCCCATAACGATTGGTTAATTTTCAATAAAACGGTCATAAAAAGTGCCTATTTTGCCAAATACGCGTATTTGATTAGTGCTGACATCTATTTTAAAATTAACTAACTGTCTACAATAACCTTAAAAACATCCTGGTATTGCCATCTGGTGTGTAAAATGAGAAATAAAATGTTTTTCGGGCAAAAGAAATTAATTAGTTTTATTCTTATTGCTGCGTTACTACTGAACACTCCAGCCAGTCAATATCACGGGAGTGAGAAATAGAGGGCGAAACCTCACCCCGTCATTTTCACGGGAGCGAGAAGGAAGGGGTTAAATAAATGGTGCCGTTTGCATACTTACGCTTTCGACACGGTACCATTGCCGAACTGTGACTGTAATCTGGGTAAATCTTCAATAGGTTTGATATTTTTCCTTGTTAATAATTGATTTGTGAGTGCAATAGAAACATTATGCGCACTTCTAATACAAGCTACTGAAAATAAATAAATAAAAATAAATAAATAAATGAATTAACTTACAAAGAGCTAAACACTATTAAACAGTTATTAAGACTCTAGACGAAGTTCCATTGTTGTCATGATAACAAGAATAAAATCATCGTCTTCTGCTATTAAAAAAATGCCATTTATATTTGATCCATCTACGTAAATTTCAATCATTATATCTCAGTGGATATGATAAAATTAATCATTAAAGGACACTGAAAATTGTTAAGTTCCTAGAATTTATTATCAGTTACCTACGTACTTCAAAGCAAGAATACTTACTCCAGTTAAATAAATAATTAATAGAACCTAATTAATCAATTTTTAAACTTAAGCATATTGTTTTCAATTTAGTTTGTTTTTAATAGTTTAATATTGATGATAGAAATATGAATTCTTATGATCATATTTATTTCTAAACATGCATATTATACTTTAATGCCTTAGAGAATATTACATTTAACTACATATCTATTTAATTACTTTTTTTAAACATAGATTTCTTTAAAAAAGTATTAAAATAGAAAAGTTCCTCTGGGAAAAATATATGTTTTACTTGTTGACATTATCTTCTTTTACTTCTCTTTTAAAGCAAACATTTAGAAAAACAGAGTAATGATTACTAGTAATCTGGGAATTTAAAAACTTTGCTTCGTTTCATATGCTCTTTTTCTCAAACATCTTAACAAATGCATTTTGTTTAGAGAAACTGTAGTTCATTTTTTTATTAGAAAAAATTCTCATTTTATGGTTTCTTCGAAATCATTATTATTGTGATGACGGTACTACAGGGGAAAAAAAACTTCTGTCGTCTAAATGGCGTCGCCATTTTGATATTTTATTTTTTTCTACTTTGGTAAAACATTTTACTGTAGGGTCAAACACGTCATAACTACTTTGAAAGCTTCTTTCACAGTCTAATACCATGTTTTTAGATACTTGTCCCAGAGCAGTCATTATTTGTTTGCTTATTTTCTCATTTTTATTACTCAGAAAGTACTTTTTTCTTCGTTGAGCATTGAGGGGGAAAACAAAAATAAAAATAAAAGTGTTGTATATTATTATTTTTGCTTAGTTATTACATGTGAATAATTTAAAAGCATAATGTCAAACGCAGAATATATTTTAGTCTTTGTTTTTATTTTGTTTTACCATTGTTTTAAGTTTGAAATAATAGTGATTTAAAAATGCAGTTCTCTTAAGATATCAATACTATTCTAATATATTCCCATACAATTTGATTTTATATCCAATATTTTTTCTTATTTCTCTTAGTAACAGTAGTATATATTTATTTAAGATTTGGAAAAGTATTAAAAATATTGTTAATATAATAATAATGTTTGGTAGATATGAAAAAATACAAATCATATGATTTATTAGCAATCTGTTTCTTCTTAAAATACAATTCAAAGTTTAGAATTTATTTGAGAGTTTTAATTTACTTAAAATGTACAGTTGTTGAATGTACAACTATCCATCTTTCGTTTCC